CACGGCCGGTCCTGCGGTGCACGGCTTGGTGAATAGTGCGCACAAATGTTGGCGAAGCCCTATTAGTAGTAACGAGCGAACAACGGCTGCTACTATACGAGACGTTGAAAAATGCGGTAAAGAATGCCGAAAAATACCTAACACTAAGCCACCTTCACCTGACACCCCCATATTTAACCCCATTACTTTATATTGTATGCCAATTTTGTGTTATGAGTGCAATTGAGTTAGCGAACGAAGATTGCACTAGAGAAGCAAATCATTACATCAAGAGAAAGAACGAGCGAGTGCTATCGTAAACGCCTGGATATAAGACAATGTTGAATTGAAGACAGGGGGTGTTTTTTATATTTGAGTGTTTTCATTTTAAGAGACCTATGTGCGTGTAAGAGTAAAGACATACATGTCTTCAAACCGTAATGTATTATACAGAAAAATGAAATAGAGCATACATTTTTACCCTTGCGAAACACGAATTCGGCCACGTGCTGACATGCAATCTTATCATGTGGCGTCCTGAACAATGATTGCCGATGTAGGAACCTTTGAAATAACCACACTCAAGATGAGAAACTCATTGCCATATGTTGGGTGCAAAATGTAATTTGCACGTCAACCTGTCGCCTATTCGTCGAGCAAGGTGAAATTTGGGGGTATTTGTTTTAAGGTAATTTGTGTGGATTGGAATGCCCATTATTGTGCAGTTCATTTTGGCGTTTACAGTTTGTGAATCGCCTTAGCAGTTCACAAGGTATGTGTATTTTTGTGATGTTGCATTTATGAGCGTTCATGACTATTCGCATGTGTTTCGTGTTCGCATAAGAGGAGTTTCGAGTTTCTTGGGTGTTCGAGGTGCTTCATTAATTTTCGAGTGTTCATGAGCCTTCGGGTGTTCATGACTTTTTGCATACGTTCATGTTTTGTTCATGCTTGTTCATGCATTTTCATGATTCTGGGAGTCGAGTGTGCCGAAGAGGTGGGGCTCGATGTTTGACCGAGCCCTTTGACCGGGTTCGCACTGGTCAAAAAGCGCACGACTGTCAGGACCCGCGCATGTGGTCCTGACATGCGCGTGTGGGCCCTCAGGCCCACGCGTCAGGCTCGCACTGTTGCAAGCGCGTGCAGGGCGAACGTTTTGGCGCTGTACAGCACGACCAGTTTGTCTGGTGCGCATGTGTTTCGAAGGGGTGCTATGGGATCCCGAGGGGTGCTCGGGATTGGCTCGAAATTTTAGTTGACTAGCTGAAATTCGAGTCTTGTCTTTAGTGATGTGGCGAACAAGAATCTTCGCCAGAAATGTCGCACACGTAACGCGATGATTTCGTTTCAGGTGCAAAACGGTAAAGTCCGTTTTACAATGGGAAAACGGTAGTTCACACGAGCGTTCATGATTTTACGCATGCGTTCGCGAGTGGAGTTAGCAGAGGCGTTTGGGGGACATGTAATTTGAAGGCGGTTTTCCTACAGACACGGATCAAGCCAAACGCAGCAAATGTTGAACAACCGTTTTCATTGCTTACTTGGCGAAGTTTTGGTAATGCAGTTTACCAACTGTTTGCCACTTTTCTTTGCATATGTGTTAGGCGAAATATAAAATGTGTGCTTGCGTCTGATTGTATTAACAACTTTATGGAGTGAACATTTTCTCTATCAACGTATTGACGCGAGGAGAAATTTCTGCACTCGAGCCAATCAGTCGTTATTGCTTCCGCAAATGTGTTTGGGAGTGTTCTAGTGCACACGACCGGATTTACGCTTAGTGCGTCCCTCGACAAACACGGACCCTCGGGTAGGGGCTGGCGTTGCCAGGCACTTGAGGACCCTTGGAACTGACCCCGTAGGTACTACCTAGAGTGTATTAAAGGTATGCTTAAGAGTTTTTAGATCTGAATAGTAGTCAACACCATATATGTAAGGTCTATGTTAATACAGAATTAATATTCTGTATATCAATCAGTCGGTTGTTACCTTGGAGGTGTGCACGGAACTTTCTACAGCGCTGGGTGAGTCGTTCATTATCGAGCGATCAACGGGGTTTTTAGTTTTGACCAATGGGAGGCAGCGGCTTGGCTCATTGACTTAGTTTGACTCGACTATTTTGACCGAGCAATCACAGCACGAAGTTTCCGCGCACGCCACGAGTTCGCAGCTGCTCAAGCCGACTGCATTGATTGGGTAATGTTCGCGCACGTTCTGAACACGCAGCGCGAACATGTTCCGAATAGGTTCAGAACAGCCGAACATGTTCAAAACAGCCGAACATATTCAGAACAGCCGAACAGGTTCAGAACAGCCGAACGTGTTCAGAACAGCCGAACATGTTCAGAACAGCCAACCAGGTTCAAAACATGTTTCGAACAAGCTGACACGGCAGAAGAACGGGGCAGCTGCTCGCGCACCGACATTTCGATTGCTGTAGTCTCGCTACCTGGAACATCTGGCCTCAAAAGGTGCTCACGGATCGAGAGATCAAAGCATGTGGCAAAATTGCTCACACCACCAGGAATCAAACGAAGGGATTGGCTCGGATCAGCACGCCTGCTCAAACCATCGAGCTGACTCATATAAAGAGAACGAACTGACTGGAGCCGTTATCAGTATAGTGCAAAAATCCTAACAAAAAACGTCGTCAATAAATTTCGCGCGAACATTTAAAATATCCGCCGGCATATTGAAACCTAGCTGAGTCACAAAAATGAAACGAGGGAACTGCGAAATTTGTTCGTGCCTCGCTAATGATAGAAAATGTTTAGAGAAGCTAGACAGCTAGCGCAGAAATAGCCTAGAATATAAATATATGCCCTAAATTATGAAAAATGCACTTTGCTTATCAAGCGTTCTCCCATACTGCTACCAAGATTGTGTTCTCACTGTCAAGGATTCTCCAACTATGCCGTAACATAAGGTTTCTGCTGCTGCAATTTTACGCCACTGAAAAACTATTTCGACAAACTCAGATCCTTGGATAGGGGCTAACTTTGGTCAGGCACCCAAGGACCCGCGGAGGTGACCCCGAGAAAAGTTGATTTAGAAGTGTGGAACTGTTAGCAGTAGGAACTAGGTGACTTATTAGTAACGTAAGAACCATTTGAAGTCTTTCAAATGTTTTTGTTTGCAAGACTTATGAGACACCCAAAATCTCCCCAAATACAAGATATAACATTTCCTAACATTTTTTAGTGTATAAGATATTTCCTACATGTCATAAATCAAGGCGATGATGGCATATAGCAAACTAGCGTGGTAACGGTAACGAGCAAAATGTGGGGTGCGCGACGGGCCCAGCGCCGAGGTTGGGAATTGTTGAGGCAGAGAACTGGAGCACGGGATTCTAACCGAGCCGTGAGGCTGGGTCACGATGTGAGTAGTGATGGGAATGTTGGTCGAGGCGAGTATTGCGAGTGGTAACGGTTTACTGTTGGGTACTATTGGCGGAAATCATCGTGTACGTAGTAAGAAAGGGTGCAAAGTAAGAAAAAAAAAAGTAGTTCTTACACTACCCCCCCTCCCCAAGAAGGCCTCTTTGTGAGAGTGCGTGTACATCCCGGTAATTGCGGCTGCACAGATACTCGGTGAGGACGGGGTGGTTTCGTTTTTATCCAGGGGTACCCAATTGTCTTCAGTGGGTATATGGTCCTTCTACCGTATCATGAACTCAATGTGATAGGCTCTATGTAGGTCGTGCATGCGATAGCTCAAGATCTTCTTGACGCTGACGATCGGCTCCGTAGGGCGGACGTGTCATGCTAGACGAATCGTTGATGGGACGTAGAGGTAGAGGAGACTGACGTGGAATGAGGGCTGACGCGGAGATAACTCTAGCAACGGGAGCTTGACTACGGGGAAGGCACGTGTGTGAGAGGGATCTCTGCGTTCGTTCACTTAGTCGTTTCCTTGTGCGCACACTGCTTGCTAGTTCACGGGGAGAATTGGCAAGAGTTCCACTAGGAAAGCACCACAACAAAAGGTTCAGAATGATAGCAATAACGTTGGCAACAAAGGCTACATCAGAGCTAGCTAGGCTGCTGGTCGACCTCCAGCGCAGCACGGTCGACCGCGTTCCAGCGCAGCAATGCTCGTACCGCTCCAGCGCTGCAGAGATGCGGCGCGCCAACGTTGCATGTCCACGGTGTGCCAACGCTGCAGCAAGTCGGCTGCACAGCGTTGCACCCGCATGACAACGGTGCACCTGCTTCGCAGGTGCGCGCGGCTGGTTGGCGTCCAACTCCTCGTCACGTGCCCAGCGCAGACATTCCCGCCCGTGACGGCGCCCATCAGCCACGTCGACCTCGGGATACCACCCCCAAGGTCGTCCTCGCAGGAACCTCCCCCGGCGACCTTCGCACACGTCGCCCGGGTATCCCGGTCGACCGGGCAACCCCGCCTGGTCGTCCAGCCCAGTTGGACGCTGGCTACGCCAAGCCCGGCGTCCCCAGGTCGGCGTCCTGGCGTCCAGGTCGGCGTCCACTCGCCCAGGACGCCGTCCAGGCGCCCAAGTCGGCGTCCAGACGCCCAAGACGCCGAGCAAGCGCCCAGGTCGGCGTCCAGCCTCCCCGAACGCCAAGGTGTCATCCAAGTCGGCGTCCAGGTGCCCGGGACGCCGAGCAGACTCCCAGCTCGGCGTCCAGCCTTCCAGGACGCCTAGCAGGCGCCCAGGACGCCGAGAAGACGCCCACATCGGCGTCCAAACGCCCGGGACGCCGAGCAGACGCCCAGGACGCCGTCCAGATGCAAGGACGGCGTCCTCATGCTCGGCGCCCTCCAGCTAGGAGCCCCCCAGCACAACACCCTTGCAGTGGCCCCCGTGCCCACTGCTGCAGGTCGGCTGCATCCCCCCGCACACCCGACCACGAGGTCGGCTCCGCCCAAGCGAGGACGGGGCCAAACACAACTCCCGTTGACACAGCAAAGTACCCGTAGGCACGTCCTCACCTCGTCCTCACGTGCAGGTGAATAACTACGAGCGAATCAACTCGCCCGGCGATGACATCCGTGCAGCCATGGCGAAAAATGCGAGCAAGGCGGGAAGATCTACCGCCGCCTCCGGTGCGAACTGTGACGGGGACGACGGCGACGAAGAACACGACGACGACGCCGAGGAGGATTGGCCGGAGAATGGCCACGACGACAGCGCTTCGGGGGATGAATTAGCTCATGCCGACATCGAGGAGGACGAATGGTGGAATCGGCCGGTCGGGAGTGACGACAAAGTGGAAGAGTGGCGGGCTGGTAATTTGGACAACGACAGAGGTGCCGATGCTGATGCGAATGCGGAGGCGGGCGACGAGGCGGAAGCGGATGTCGAGGCAGTAGCGCCCGTGGAGGTGGCCGCCATTGCGGATGCGGATGCTGTGGCGGAGCCGGATAAGGTTGCTGCGGAGGGAAGTGCTGATGTCGTCTTATTTGACGGTGAAAGCGATGACGATGACCCGTGGAGCATAGTAGCAGACGACGATGTTCCGCTACTGAAGCGGAGGCTACGCCATCGCCTAAAGTCCAAGCCAAAGCATGCCAGTGTGGTGCTCTCTGACAACGACAATTTGAGGGAGGAGCGTCGCCTGATACTTACCGCTGCAGAGAAGGGTAAGACCAAGATCGCGGAAGCCCCTGCTAAGGCCACTGTTCGATGCCGCGCAAGCAACAAGAAGCGGAAAACTAACGGCGACCCTGGATCCAGCAAGGGTGCTGCTAAGACGAAGGCGGAGAAGATGCCAGATCCAGACGACATCGTGGTCAACGAGACACAGGGCAGCGACGATGAATACGCGGAAGCAGCGGGCCCGATTCCTTCATTCCCTGAGAAGCCCACGTCGAAAGACGCCACCCTCAATAATCCCAACACCCGCCTACCTTCCCCTCGCAGCAAGGACACTAAATAAAAAGTGACGCGGATGGACCGTACGCAAGAAGCTGAAGTGGGCGCGCCGCTATCAGGAGCTTGGCACCTTGAAGAAGACGAGCTTGGAATCAACCGCATCCATCGCCTGCATCAGACGCTGGAGTGCGGAGGCAGCTGCGGGCTTCTACAAGGGAGCGGCGAACTGCCGCAAGAGGATGCACGGGGGGGGCCGCCACGCACACTACCCCGACATCGAGGCGGCGCTATACTGCTACATCCGCCTGCAGCGCGCTAATGGGGTGGCCATCTCGGTGAAGGACACCCAGAAGTGGAGCCACGAGAGGATGAAGCAACACCACCCCGGCAAGAACTGGAACATGAGCTCCCACTGGAGCCAGCGTTTGACCGCTAGAACCTGGTCATGCGGGTGAAGACCAAGGTCGGCCAACGTTTATCGGCACGTGAGTGGTGAAGGACTTCGTTTCGTGCTCGATGCTTGACTGCATGCTCCTCGCCCAGTTTCTAACCATACCTTGCTTCCGTGGCGTTTGTTCCATTTGCAGAGTGCGCCAAAGACTGCGAGTCGTTCTGGAAGTTTGCGCGCATCAACAAGGCGCGGCATAACATCGACCTGGCCCGCATCATCAATGCGGACCAAATACCACTATTCGTGGAGATGCCGGCCGAGTGGACGATCGAGCACCGTGGCGCGCGCTCGGTCCCAATCCGCACTGCAGGCTACCAGAAGACGCGCTTGACGGTGACGCTCGCGTGCACCGCATCTAGGGAGAAGTTGCGGCCGTGGGTGTGGTTCAAGCTGAAGAATCTGCCCAACTGTGAGATTCCGAAAGGTATGCTCAAGGATTTCAAAAGCCGTATGCCTGATGAGCTTGCCCTCGTTGGCTAATGCCCGTTTGTCCCCTATGTGCCTGGCAGGAATCATGGTCGAAGCACAGGACAACAGGTGGATGGACGAGAGCGCTGTGCAGACCTAGCTGACGAAGGATGTGCTGCCCCATCTTAACCCCCAGCGCGGCCAGAACTCGAGGCATGCGATGTTGGTGTTGGACTCCTACCGAGGCCACATCACCCAGAGCATGCTTCAATCGTACCGCACGCACAGCATCACCCCTGCAGTTATCCCAGCGGGTTGTACGAGCCAGATTCAACCCCTGGACGTTTCCATCGACCGGTGCTTCAAGGCTGCCATGTGAGCGCGCTACGCCAGGTGGTTCATGCGTGAAGGAATTTACCTGAAGACAAAGAAGGGTGAGTAAACCTCCGGGCTTAATATCTGCTCTGTTTCCTGTCCATGTCTCTAACGACTCGCTGCCCCTGCCTCTGTGCCACCTGCAGGGAACCTGCGGAGGCCTTCGCACCCCGTGGTGCTGCAGTGGATCGCGGAGGCTTGGGATCAAGTCCCCAAGCAGGTCATCGTCGACGCGTTCCGCCACTGTGGGATCTCAAGCAAGCTAGACGGAACGGAGAACCACCCGGTGATGTCGCATTTGTGCGCCAGAAGCACCACCGATGTATCCGAGGGCATGTGCCTCGGGGGACCACAAGCGTCAACACGCGCCTGCTTGGGCAGGCTCCAGAGGAGGAGGCTCCAGAGGAGGAGGAGGAGGAGGAGGAGGAGGAGGAGGAGGAGGAGGAGGAGGAGGAGGAGGAGGAGGAGGAGGAGGAGGGGACGTTTGCAGGCGGAGGGCGTGAGGGAGGTGGCCGTGGCAACTGGCCTTGAGGTGCTGTACCAGGAGACCCCCAACTACCGCGGAGCGGCGGCCGAGGCTGACCGCATGATCGAGCCTAGGGAGATGGGTAGGCATGCCTGGCGAGTGCCAGATCTGGGTGTTAGAGAGCCTGCTGTCAGTGCAGGTGAGGAGGCGGTGACCCAGGCGGGCTAGGTAGAAGTATAGATTCATCAATGTATGCATGTACCCCCCTAATGAAAGCAAGGATCGTTTAGAAGACACCCCACTATATATAAGAAAACCCCTAAACCCCGGATCTGATTATAAGACATATATGTCTTATCTCGTACACACAAATAGGTGTCTTATAAAAAGGCTAGCCTGCTTATAAGAGACAACCGGATAATAGACAACCCCTGTCTACTATTCAACACTGTCTACTATCCGGGCGATGACGGTATTGCAGATATGTGCAGCAAACCCTTCAAGACTCAAGGATGAGCTTATTGTGAAGAACCAGAACCTTGGTTTTAAGATTCAAGTGAATTCAAAGTTCTCCAAAAGGGCAAACTTCAAGATAGTGAGAAACCCTACTTTGTGTAGTGCAAAATTTCTCTTACTGTAGGCCCTTGTGGAGGTGTTATAGTCACCGTAGGCTTCAATAGGCTTCAATGTGCCTAGAGCCAAAGATAGAGTGCGCAGTCAGATTTCTGCACAGCGGCTTCAAACGATCATAGCGATCTGCTCACACCTCCAATTGACCTCATTCAACTTGGATCTGGAGCGTCTTAACGTCGCCTACAATAGGAAATTTAGATCGCACGATTTCATCAAGAATTGACGACACAGCGTCAGATTGAACGAACGGCACTATGGCAGCAACATGGTCTTAGAAGACACAATTACGAACAGCTAGGAAGAGTTACGAGTTGGGAAGGACTCCCAGCTCCTACAAACCCCAAGAGCCGAGGTACAGTGATGGGGAACAGTGCCACACTGTCCCCAACTAAGAAGGGTCTCGAAACTACCCTTCACAAGGGCCTACACCAACTGAAATGTTACACTACACTTTGTAATGTAACTATCTTCAATATCTTGAGGTGTAGCCTTTTGGCGTGCTTAGAAAAACACTTGAAGCTTGAACCAAGGCTCGGGTTCTTCATCACAAAACTCATCCTTGAGTTCTTGATGGGTCTGCTGCACACACCTGCGACACGCCGAACGTTCGACAAGCGACAAAATAGAAACCGCGCACGACAAAATAGAAACCGCGCAGGACACGCAAAATGACCGCGTAGTACGCGGCTAGCGATAACTCGCTCTTGACTCGACACACACACTCGACATCATGACCTATCTCGACACCCACTGAAGTGTCCGGCAAGGAGACACGGGGCCAGAGGTTGAGCTGATGCGCGGCGTACCGGACCGCAAACGGCCACAGAAAATGGGGGGCAGCCGCATGGATCATGGAGGTACGAGCGACCTCCATGACTAAGCCAATGCGGTGCTCAGCAACCCCATTCTGTTGCAGAAAGGTCGGAAGCGTGAACAACTGGCGGATACCGGGCTCCTCACAGAAGGCTCGTAATAGGTCGGAGGTGAACTCACCACCTCTGTCAGAGTGCAGACGCAGGACAGGAAAGTCTGACTCGAACCAATCGCGGAGCTGGAGACAAACAGCGCGGATCCAGGGGATCAAAACAGCAGGGACGTCCCCCTTGCTGCGCAAGGGGAAGACCGTAGTGTAACGCGTGTAGTCGTCGACGACCAGCAGGAAGTACCGCTCGTGGCCCTGTCCCTGGACGCGGGCCGGGCCCCACACGTCCAGGTGGAGAGTCTGCAGTGGAGCCTCTGTGGGAGGGAACGAGGAGGAGTGAGGAGCGGCGCGCTGCCGCCCCTCGACGTGAGGAATGCAGGGCGGCGCAGGCGAGGGAGGGAGGGCAGGCAAAGACCTGGGAAGACCAGAGACCAGGGAGCGAGAGTGCATGCCACAAAGGTGGGGCAGGGAGGGGTGACCAAGTCGGTGGTGCCACAGGAGAGTGTCGTGTGACAGGTGACGGCACTGACACTGGGTAGCAACCTGAGCAGACGCGTACAGCTGAGGAGACAAAGGGGTGTAGCGCGGCACGGCGGTGAGGGTGTATAGACTGGACCCAGGCGCACGTGTGAACGTGGCCAGGTGGCGGCCAGTCCGAGAGCACGTGCAGTGCGTCACCCGCTGTCCTCCAGGGGTAAAGGTGTCAACCCAGTGATCCTGAAGGACGGCGGTGCTCACCAGGTTCGTAGAGAACGAGGGGATGTGAAGACCTGACAGCTCACCAAACGGGACCGCTGGGCATGGAAGCACAGTAGTGGACCGTGCAAGCACTGGGCCCCAAGAGAGGTTAGCCAGCGAGACAGGGACAGGTGTAGAGAGGGGAGTGACTGTGGTGCTGTCGCGAAAGAAATAGCAGGAAGCAGCAGAATCAAGTGTAAAGTTGTGCAAGGCCTGAGCCGACGCAGTACCAGGGGGAGCAGACTCACTAGCACCTGTTGGTGCAACCTACGGTTTGCACTCATATTGTTGTCCGTGTGCGTGTGCGTGCATGCGTGTGTGCATGGAGTGGTATGAGTGCATGAAATAAATATATATTTCATGCTTATAATGGTGTGTGAATGATGGGTCATGGTGTCGAGTGTGTGTGTCGAGTCAATAGCGAGTTATCGCTAGTCATGGTGTCGAGTGTGTGTGTCGAGTCAATAGCGAGTTATCGCTAGCCGCGTGTTAATGCGGTCATTTGTGTCTCGCGCGCGGTTTCTATTTTGTCGTGTGTCCCGTGCGCGGTTTCTATTTTGTCCTATGTCGAACGTTCGGCGTGTCGCAGGTGTGTGCAGCAGACCCATCAAGAACTCAAGGATGAGTTTGTGGTGAAGAACCCGAGCCTTGGTTGCAAGCTTCAAGTGATTTCGAAGCTGGACGAAAGGGTACATCTCAAGATATTGAAGATTGTTACATTACAATGTGTAGTGTAACATTTCTATGGGTGTAGGCCCTTGTGGAGGGTAGTTTCGAGACCCTTCTTGGTTAGGGACAGTGTGGCACTGTTCCCCATCACTGTACCTCGGCTCTTGGGGTTTGTAGGAGCTGGGAATCATTCCCAACTCGTAACTCTTCCTAGATGTTCGTAATTGTGTTCTAAGACTATGTTGCTGCCATAGTGCCGTTCGTTCAATCTGATGCTGTGTCGTCAATACTTGATGAAATCGTGCGATCTAAATTGCCTACGGTAGGGAACGTTAAGACGCTCTAGATCCAAGTTGAATGAGGTCATTTAGAGTTGTGAGCAGATCGCTATGATCGTTTAAA